ATTATATCCTTCCCAGTGAAACTTTGTTTTATTTTAACTTTCTTCCAATACATACCTTTTATAAAACAGAGGAACTAAAGTGGTACTAAAAGAAGCAGCAAGAAAGAGATAGAGGAATTACAATTAGATAATAAGATAAAAGAGTATTTTAGGGACCCATTAGAATTGAGCCACGCCAGAAAAAGCTTCATCTTTCTGGGAAAATGTGTTCATCCTTACCAGGTACATCTAAGGAACCTTTAGAGCTCACAATACACTTAACAGCGCTCAGGCTCTACTTTATAGCCATATTACACCAAGGATGCTGCCAATGCACACAATGTTCTTGATACTCTAGAGGAGCACAATAAGGAAGAAACACAAGAGTCTTGCCATGTAAGATGTGACTAACCAGCAAATACAGAGGTTAAAATGTCATGTCAGGGTAAGAAATCCTGTTAAGGATGTTAATCAATCAGAGATCTCTGCCTTGAAAAGACAGCAGATTTTTGGGCTAGTTCCAAGGGGACTGTTTGCACTTAACAGAATTGCTGACATCTATTATCCATGTTGTGTAGCTAACACTTGCTTCTAATAATGATATACCTTTATCTATTGATATGACACTTGTATCTAAGATACAAGGAGAACACTACGTGCTGAAATATGCACTTGTATTTTACCTGCAGTCCCTTTTTTTTTTTAATAGAAAAGCTGACTTGTCTGCTGCATATTGAATTTTTTTCTTTCTCTGCTGGTATTTCAACTTGATAACACATGTAGAATAAGATAGAGAGTTCAAGAGCAGAAAAATCAACATTTACTACCCTTGATATTAAAAGTTTTACTGATTACTGCCTAAACAAGAAACATCCTCCATTTGTATTACTACTATGACTACAGCAGCTATTAAACTGGCAGCCAATACAGTGCCACTTCCTCCTCCCCAAACTTTTGGCACAACAATTGCCACAATATACTCCAGGACGTACAGCAGCCAGTCATGATGCTCCTGGATTAGGTCAGGATTCTGCCTGCACCCTTCTAACTGCTCCTTTGCCACTGAACTGTTAAGATATCCTCAGATAGAAATGAGAATGGCACTAGAAAACTTACCATACAGACTGTATGGGATGGTGGTGATGACCATCTAAAATCCTTGTTGCAAAAAGCAGTTTAAACCAGCAAACAAGTTTTGCTTGCCTTTATTTTTTTAAATAAACTTTATATTTCTACGGTTCTTAGCTATCTGCTTGATACTTACTTCAACAAAGCTTTTCAGACATACCACTGTTCAAGCACAGGCTCCAAGTAACTCTCAAAAAAATGATCTTTACTGTACTTAGCCTAAAGGTTAATCAGAAGTCACTCCCACCACAAATACACCAAGATGATGTATTTTGAGGTAGCTTGTTGAATCTGAACCAAGTACCATAGCACTGAGTCAAGACACACACAAAGTAAAGGAACAAGTGCTGAATAGGACTATACAAGAGAGTAGGCAGCTTCTGAAGTGTATGTTAAGTGAAAACTGAATAGAAAAAGCCTAGTGCTACAGATGACACTGGAGAACTATCAAAACTTCCTTACCTGGGCTTTAATGATATCTTCAGAGAAAAGAACTATCTTTTAAAAAACTCAAGTAAACAAAAAAAGCCTCTCTCTTATCTCATCTAAAGGCAAGCAAGATCCAAAGGAAGTGTTAACAGAACTGAAAGAATTTTTACATGAAGATAACTGTGGCAGGGAAATGGGAAGAGTCAAACCCCAGGTAAGAGAAGAAGATCACCCTGCAGCATTAACAGGCCTACTGTACATCTAATTACGTGAACAAAGAAGTCACATCTCAGCCACAACAAAACTTCAGATAATTTCAAGGCATGTAAACTAGAGATATATTTAACTGAAAGAGTAATGAATATGTTTATATAGAATCAAATGTTCCATTACTGTTTGCCATTCACTTTCACAACAGGCGAAAAACTATTTCCTTACCTATTCCTTGTTCTTTCAATAACTTATCATCCCTTTCCTTCTTATCTATTGAGCAATACTTTGATTAAAAGCAGGACACATTATAGAATCAATACGCTATATATTTTCATTTATATACTGATTTGATACACATACATATATATATGTAATGTATGTAATACAGTATACTAAACTGTTAACTATTTTGTATTATAAGGCACATTTCCTTCAAACTGTTTAAAAGAAAATGATACGATGTGTTCCAGAAAGCCGTCCTTGTTCGTCAGATATGGAGTACCAGAAAAACATCAAGCACTAATTTTGCTCTTCAATATTATTGCCTGTTACCTCTCAGTCTGACACCATACAACACACAAGAACAAAGGTAGCTTCTCAGACTAGACATGTGGCAACAGGAGAGCCTGAATTTTAAAAGGTGGTGTTTTATCTGAAAAGTGATGTACATCCTGGTATATGCAAGTAGAAGTGAAAAGGGACAAAAATGAGGTTGGACTCTGGACTGCACTGAAAAGCCATTCATCCATCAAAGAAGTAAAGCCAGAGAAGGACAAATAAACATGTATTACAAAGAGTGAGGTTACATGCAGCAAGTATGTAAGGCGGCACATAACGTACATATTTAACAAATGTCTTTTTGAAAGTAAGAATTCCAGAAATTTAAATAAGTTGCATATGTAAGTGAAGCATTTAAATAGTCATTACAGGCACAGACCAATTATGAGTTAACAAGTTAATGAGTTAACAAGTCCCCATTAATGAATTTGGAAACTAGGCCCTTTAATGCTTTATTGGAGTATCTGAAGCATGATAAACTCTGGAAAACAGATTTGTTCACATGCAAAAAACAAACAAGTGTCCTAAGTTATTTACAGAGTGAATGCATAGTCTTGATGCTCTTAAAACAAACAAACAAAACCACCAAACCTCCACCATCTAACAGTAAACACCACTATAAAATACCATCAGTGTTTTTAATGTAGAAGTCTGGGAACCTCTGTGTTTTCTATCTGGCTGACTTAATTATTTTAAGAACTTAATATTCTAGCATCTTCTCTGAATGCACACAATCTCCTTACACTATAAATCTAGATTAGGGAACTAATTTAAATGGTTTATATATAGCTAGAGGTAAAGCAGCTATTTCTTAAGAACATGGGTTTAGAAAGTTAAATACAAGCAGAAGTATTTTACTGTTGCAAGCAACTTTATCCTGTCAAACAAAAGATAATAGCTAAGATCAACCAGAATAGATAAAGAGAAAACAAGGAAAAATTTCAAAGCTCTCAACATACCACAAAACTATTTCTCAACATATCACAAAACTATTTTAATATAAAACGGAATGATACTATCTCTAAAAACATCATCACATGCTGTGGTTCTCTCTTGTTTAGGTGTCCAAGGCTATAACACTATTGGTTCTACAGTTAATCCCTTCTTGAGAATGACTAGTAACTATGTCCAAAGGGAAATCACAGTTTTCAAAACCAAAATAGCACGTGTCAGTCTGGAAAATTTATTACTTATTTTCAAAAAACCACCCGTACATGAGATAAAACCTGCTGGTTCTCCCTGTGATCTGTGAGCTTCTTTCTTCGAAGGAGGAGACGTAACTTTTTCCAGCACAGATTTAAGACTACCTTGCTCATGATGCATAAACAAAATGCTTGTGGAGAGAAGAAATTTAGCTCTAAAGCCTTCCTCTTTCAGAACTGAGGTTCCACCATCAGGGAAATCACTGACACCCTGAGCATTAATGGAGTCTGTCTCGTTCCTACAGCATGATCGGCCAGCATATAACTGCTTTGTCGGTTGCTAGGGAGCAACAAGCTCATTACGCAGCATGATCCACACCCTCCACAAGGATGCTGGCACATGCTTCCCATCTGGGGATACTACTCACTGAAGTAACGGCACTGGAGTACCTGCCAGTCTTCAGTCTCCCCGTGTGCAGTACACCAATATAGCAGGTGCTAACTTTAGCTCTACCTTCAAGGTTTTAGGCTCCAGTCTCTGTGAGCCTGGACAACGCAATGCAACACACAGAGAGGTCAGAACAGCCTTCTACAGCTATTGGCATGGATACCCCTTATTTTCAAAAGACAAATCTAGGAAAAGATGTTCTTCCTGAAATTTTGGCAGACACATGGCTTTTCTGACTAGGGCAATGAGTGCCACTATTCTCAAGTCTGTGTTAGACGAAAATTCAGTGAAAATGGAAAAAAAGCTGGAGGAAAAAAAAAACCACAAACAAACTTCTTTTCAGTCATTAAGGGAGCACAAGATTTGGATGCATTTACAGAAGACATACAGAAACCTAGTGATCTGCAAACTGTATACATTAAATCCCTGGAATGGATGTCAGCCAGGAACAATCTGGGTCACTTCAGAGTCTAAACATGCAACCTTAATACATTTTTTCAGCTGTTTGTCTCATTAGCACTTCATAGATCTATTCACAATAAGACAAAAAAAAAAAAAAACCAACTGTCAAGAAATAAAAAAGCCACCTCGCTTCCATATGCCAGGAAATTTATTAACTAACAATCTATCTGCATTACACAAAGATAATATCTAATGATTTTCATGTACCTGTCACACGTCAAATGCCATCCAAGAATTCTTAGTGCTGGTGAATTAACAAGCACAGAAGGGAATACAGCTGTAGGATATGCATAGATACCTACACATTCAAATTCTTAAGCAACTTCACAATGGTTTTTGTTGGGTTTTTTTGTTTGTTTGGTTTGGTTTTTTTAACAATTGCATAAAGAAGCATAAAAAGGAATGAGAAGGAACGCAAATTGGGGCGATTCACTCATCAAATCCATGGAACTACAGGTCTGTTTGAAGGGGATAGGTAAATGCAAAAGTGTCAACTTTCCCTCTTACCTGAAGTTAAGACAACCAAGATACAAAAATGCTCATCACTAACATATGAAATATCATGGACACTCGTGTATCAGTTAAATGCATTTTAAAATAACTGATTAGTTTGAAGCACAAATATGTACCTAAGTCCTTACCTGTCTCAACAATTTCTCTACAGCTGACATTACCATGAGTCCTCTCCACACAACTGGGGCAGTCTCTTCTACCAAGAAACCCATAGACATGCTGAAACGAGAAAGCAAAAACTTAAGCTTTCCAGCACAACACCAAGTACATCTGTAAAGAAACTCGATTTAAATAAAAACATATGCTCACCATGCGATGCCATAGTTCTTAAGTGGCCTCATTAGATTTTCTAAAAGAGAAGCAAAGAAGGTTGTTTTTTGGGTTTTCGGGGTGTTTTTTGGTTTTGTTTGGCTGGGGGGGGGGCGGGATTGGGTTTGGGTTTCGTTTGGCTTTGTTTTTTAAAGAAATAAGCTTACACAATTTTTTTTCCTTTTACAAGCAGTTTTCCCTCTCTGTTAAAAGCATTTGTCTATTTTCCCCTTCATCCCTTCAATGTATGTATACATTTATCCATTCTACCCACGAACTTGGCCCCACTTTTTCTTAGGTTGTTACACTTTACTGATACCATTCATCTTTTGCCAGAATAACAACTCATTTGCCCATAACACAGTGTCACTTTGTGCTGTCGAAACTGACTTCATCTATTTGTATGAAATCCCCATGCTGTGAGGCATAAATCCCCTACTAGGCAGCCTTCTACTTCTGCAATACTTCACTAAACGCTAAGTCATTTATATCAGAACAAAATCAAAGTCCTACAACATGATGGGACTTTAAATTTTTTTTTTAAACTATGCTATTCACTGATTTCATGAATCAGAGGATCATTCCCATTAACACACCAGCGTTTTGGCAAATTCTTCTCCTTCTATTAAGTCTGCTTTGGAACCCCCGAGCAAAGTTACCAAATAAAGCCACTCCTAAACTACATGCTACGAACAGCTCTGGGTAAGAAGTTCTGGATTTCTTCAGACTGGCAGAAGTCTGCAGGACTTCTAAAATTTCTGCAGGAACAAAAGATACTTGTTTGAACGTTGCAGAAGTAATGTCTTTGTCATGCTCCATATTGCTATGCTTTCCACTGCCAAGAAGAAAAAGCGGGGGGAAATACTGTAATCGTTTGCTGGAAAATAGGCAAGCAAACAGGAAAAAAAAAAAAAAAAAGAGTGCACTTAAACCAAAACCTTGCAAAAGCCAAAAACTTCTCTTTATAGTCTCTGCCATCTAAATCCACACCTTATCTCAAAATGGTGCACACACATACAAAAGAACAAAAGGAATTTTAGTTGGTCTAGCTGGTTTAAGAACATGCACAGGCATGAACCAGCAGAAAACAGAAAGAATACTGTAAGCAATGAAAAATATAATATAACACATATTTTGACAGAAACCTTTGATGCACCCAAAGTAAAATATATATAGATAGTACAATAAAAACAATGTGAATACAATGCAGTGCATTCAAAGCTGAACTCCAAATTCAGACAAAATAACACCCAAGAGCATGTAAATTAAATAGCTAAACTCTACAGATGAAAGCTTTCAAGCAACCAAGTAAGTGGGCATTCAAGTCATGTAATTTTGCAGAAATATGGTTGAAAATAAACTGGATGTTTTAGTTCACAAAACGAACAAAATGGGAAACTAAACAAATCACTTGCATGACTATTGTGTTCAGGAATGAGTATGGAACTGCTACTGGAAAAGACACGGGCTTGGACTGATGCACTGCACCAGGGTAACAGAACCCTTCTCTACTGGCACAGCTCTTCTCAGCGTTTAGTCAGGGCTTACTTTGGCAGCATTATACTGTCTAACTGCATTTCTCGGAATCACAGTCTTACTTCTCCGCCCTGCAGTAAGATAGTTTTGTTATGAAGAGGCTGATGACATCTGAACTTCAGCCTAGAGCCATCTCTAGGCACTGCTTTGGTCTCCTTGTAAACAACATATGTACCAACACAAGTTATAATACTGTTAGAAGTCTTGAGAAAAATGACTACATATTTACCTAAGAGAGGGTTTTAAAAAAAAGAAATGGGGAAAAAAAGCATCTGCAACAGCATATGTCACTGCAGATTCAAGGTCTGCTTAATTTTTACCATGAAATAGGAATGATTTTAAGAAAAAACAAAAGAA